ATGCAATTCCACTGGCCAAGGGGATCGCACTGGTGCGTTGGATGCCACAGAAAACTGGATATCGAAGGAGTAGCCGGATTTGCTTGCAACTGTGTGCTGCGTGTCCGTACATGCATTTTGCTACACCCGTACTCCGTGTGCACTTCACCTCGATGTTTACAAAAAAGCATCGTTTTTCCATGCCCTCACGCTCCGTTTCCCAGTGCAAACCCGCTCGGTCGCCAGTCGGCTGTCGCCACTTTCCCCGCGTGGACCGTTGTTCAACGATGCGCCGATCCGTCCCTCTCTATCCGTTCGGTTTTTCTCTCTGCGCCGCTCGCTCTCAGAGTCATTCTCTATCCATCGCCAAGAGACGGATCGGATGATTTTCTCGCCGAGGCGTTGTCAGTTTCCCACCTTGCAGAATTCCGACGGGCAAAAGCCCAAAATAAAGTGTATTGCATCTGTTCTGAATTCAGGATAAGCATCGTCGTCGACAGTGTGTATGAGATCAGCTGCAAAGTTCAATGTTGCCAAACCAAACCATTGCTTTCGTAGGTCGGGCGGGTTCTGTTCAGCCTAAACAAAAGCTAAAAGAGAGTGCTTATGTAATCGGTGACGGCTAATAACGAAGTCTCACGAATTTGATTCCTCTGTGCGCTGCATTTTCTGTGGAGAAGGAATACGAATACTTTTGTAGAATATACAGCATTTGAAGATAGGGATCTAGTGAGCATGCATGCTGTCAAAGATGCTGACATAACTTGTTAATCCTCAGAAATGAAAATACCGTTAGTCATGGTTTGATAAAGTAATTAAACCACGTCATCTGAGACAAAATATTGTGTGGTGTACAGAGTATTAGGGACTAGTAGAGGGCATGATTGAATCGATCCTAATCCAGACTAATGCAGATTGCTATATGCTTTAAAAATCTGAACCTGTGCTGGACCATTTTTTTAACTGTACAAGTTCAATCTCCGTGTGCCACAAGCTCACTCGCATGCTCCGTCTGACGAAACACCCGAGTGATAAGTGGAAAAGAATTTTATTATATATGATTTTATTATATAATTTTAGGTTTACCCATACTAGTTGTTAGTAGTAGAATTTATGATTCGATTATACGATTTTAGGACTTTTTAATCTTTAACTAAGGATTCCGATTCTACTATCCTAGTCAACAAAATCTATATTTCTATGACTTTTATGTGTACGACCTTAATTACCTAAAGTCCTCGATTTGACTTAGAATTTATGATTTTGACAACCGTGACTTTATCAGTACCAGCAATTGTTTCAACCCATCTTCATTTTTTTTCGTGTATACTTATACGATATATAGAAAATTGAAATCTGTTACCTGAGCGTGCGTTCTCCGCGGGTGACGGTCCCGCCGTCGCTGAGGAAGGTGGTTTGGGCATGTTCGGTTGGTATGAGCCGATCGAAACTGTTTTGTTTTGAAAGAAAAAACTATAGATTTTAATTGATAAGTTGAGTGATAAATTCAACAGGCGCAAAGAACAGATGCTTCTCCTACGAACTAGTGTCCCGGCTCCCGGACAGCGGAACAAGGACAAACCTCACCCGTCACCCACCCCCGAGTCGGCGAGTCCCGTCCAGCGCACGAGCGCACTGCGCACCTTGCAGTTGCACAGATTCTTGCTGCCGGTGAGCCAAGTGTGTGTGCCTCCAGCCCGGTGGCCGCCTGGTCGCTCCACGCGTACCCCTTGTCCCTTTCCCAGTTTCCCACCCGTGTCACCGTGTGACGGACTGACGGTGCCTACGACTGCGAGTACCGAGTAGCATCACCATGGACGCTGCTGCTTCCATAGGGCGGATTCCCGCTGCTTCGGTGCTTGGCCATAGGCATTTTTCTGTGGGATCTCCGTGTCCTTTTCTTACCGTTCGCCAGCGAATCCCGAGGCGTACCTTCTAAACTTGAGTTTCCGTCACATCGAATATTTGAATACATGTACATGAAGTATTAAATATAGATTAAATATAAAATTAAATGCACAGATGAAGACTAATCTACAAGATGATTTTTAAGCTTAATTAGCACACGATTTGATAACGTGGTGCTACAGTAAACATTACTAATAAAAGATTAATTAGATTTAATAAATTCGTCTCACGGATTATCAATGACTTATATAATTTGTTTTATTATTACTATCAAACACTCGATGTGACACTCCGATATAACCGTCGATGTGATAGCCCTGAACTTTATTCACTGATTTAAACGAAGCCCGCGCGGTTGCCATTTTGCGAGAGCGAGACTCACGGATCGGACAGGCCCGTTTCGCAGCTCCGGAGATGCCCTTCCCAGCCCCCTAGTCCACCACGTAGTCAAATATTCCCTCAGTTCCAAAGCTTGTTTCAATTTTATCACAAATGAAACTATCTTAATCTTGAACAATTTATGAAACAATCACTAAAATATTTTCAACACCAAATAGATAAATTGTATGAAAATAAGTTTCATGCTGAATTTAGTGATACATTTGGTTTAGTTAAAATAAAAAAATGAGAACAAAATAAAAAACAATATATTTTTCAGACATAGGTTCTAAATAATATAAAAAAATCCATCCCGTAGTAAGTACTAGCCACCATATGTCTAGAAAACGATGTAAGATCATGAGTTTTCTGTCCTATCCAAAGTTGATGTCTTTTGCTTATTTGCCAGTCATTTTTTTTTACTTTGATCATATATTCGTCCAAAAAAAAAATAGTATACTTACTGTGCTAAGTCAAACATCTTGAGTTTGATCAATTTTTTTGCAAAAATATACAAATACTTATGATAAATAATCATAATTGGATTCATCATATTTGGACCTAATACCATTTTTTATACATAATTGGACCGAATCTAGAAGTACACTCTTTTTGGGTGGAGGGAGTATGCTACAAGGTTCATATTGTTTAATTATATTTATTAGTGCTTGTGTATTGGAACAGAACGTACAGCTTGAGGCGCGGTCGCTTGAACAATTTGTGGCTTTAAAAATTATTTATCGATCACGTCATCTGTTCTAACATGTGTTGAAATCATACTTACTATCGCTGTACACACTAACAGGTATGAGCAAGGGTTATACACGTCCATGTGACAACGAAACAAGAAGGTGCGCTAGGAGATCTAGGAAGTAAAATACGATGGACGGAATACTTTGTTATGAGTTTATTATCAAGGATAGATTTCAAACGTGTCAAAAACTTGTCTTATAAATTGATAAACCATGTCGATATCCTGAATGACATGCATTTAAAACAGATGTAGTGATCGGTAGGTACCTTTGCTTCCGATGGAAACATGTCCCAGGTTCGAGAGTTCTAGACCCGTGATCGTATTTTGAAATCTGAATACTTTGTGCACTTGTCCTTGTGGTAAATCTGAATACTTTGCGGTCAAACTTGAAGGTACCGACGTGCACGCTGGACACCACGCGTTCCGTTCCGAACTGGCGCCTTGTTCGCTTTTGTCGACACTGAAACCCGTGGAGTCACGTACTGCCACCCGCGGTCTACTGGTAGGCGGTAGCACTAGCAGCACGCAATAGCTGATCTGACCTCACTCGTAAAGCCATGATGATCGACACGCCGCAAATCAATCTGCTGAACCAACGCTCACCCGTCCCAGCCCGTAGAATCAGTACATTTTCACGAAGAAAATCTGTATTACTAGTACAGTAGTACGTATATTATCCGGAGTACGAAAAAAATGGGAGAAAATAAAGACCAAGCGACTGGGTGGATAGAGAAGAAAGGGCATGGAACTCAAAAGTGCCAGGTGGGGCCGGGCGGATTAGGACGAAAAGCAAAGGCAGGGAAAGAGAGAGAGAGAGAGAGAGAGAGAGAGAGAGAGAGGGGGGAAAGGAGGCTAGATCGAGGGAGAGAGGGACCCTGCCCGCGATTGCTACGGCCTCCATCGCAGCGAGAGAGAGAGAGCTTGAAAGCGTGCTTACCTGCCATTCCCAGCTTCCAGTTCCTTTCCTTCTTCTTGCTCGTGCACCCAGTACTCCACCACTGCCCATCCTCCTCCTCCCTCTCCCTCTCCCGCTCCCGCTCCCGCCACCCCCCATCCCGCAACGACGCGCATCGGACCCCGGCCGCGTCGTACGTGCTCGCCCATTCCCTACCCGTCAGTGGATGTGCCCGTCCGAGCCTGCGGCGGCAGCGGAGGACGACAACCCGGCGTGCGGCAGGAGTGGCAGCTGCAGCGGGTGAGTTGAGCTCCTGGCACAGTCGGGGTCCGCATTACCAGTGTGTCCCTCCCCGGTGGACGGTGGTGGTGCTCTGCGCTGTTCCCCTTGCTAACTTGTCGGGCGGGGTGGTGTGCCCTAGCACTGTGCGGAGCTCGCCCGCTCGCGCGGGTCGGGGAGTGAAAAAGCTCGCGCGCCTTTCGCAGATCTGCTTCGGGGACGTGCGCGGCGGTGTGCTCCTGGGTCCCCCGGACGGGCCGGGTATCCCGTGATTTGAGGGGACTTCTACTTCTCTCTCTCCTTCTGGCTCCCCACTCCCCTGCCTCTGCGTGCTTCTTCTTCTTTCTGGAGACACGGTGCGATTTGTGTGTGCTCTGAGGAGGAGTTGAGCTGCGTTAGCATTTCTGCCGGAGAAATCGGCTTAGAGTTGTCTGAGTGAGTGCTTCGTCTCAGCGTGAGCTTCTCGATTTCTAGGAGGTGATTACTGGTTGAGCGATTGTTCTTTTTATACTTCGGTTTTCTGTCTTACTTGATCACCGGGTCGCTACCGATTTACTACTTGATTTGGTTGCTTGCTCTTGTCAGTTTGTCTGATAAATGCCAATGCGAAGCTACTTCCCTTGTTGTCACATGAGTACTAGTTCAGGTGCTGCCCATGAAAGTCTTTAAAATTCATAAAGCATTTATCTCCTGCAGTGTTCTTACAGCTGCTTGCGCCCTCTGCAGGAAGCCATCCAACCACGGAGATGTGGGAGCCCAGAAGGTCGTAGCGAGGGGTTTCCTTGATTTGTGAATCTTTGATCAAGGATGGAGCACCGGGCTTTGCTGCTCGGCGTGGCGCTGGCCTTTCTGCTGGCCTCTGGCTCCCAGGGCTTGAACCATGAAGGTCGGCTTCTCCTGGCGCTCAAGAGCCAGATGAACGACACTCTCCACCACCTCGACAACTGGGACGCGAGGGATCTAACACCATGCAACTGGAGGGGCGTCAACTGCTCGTCGGCGCCCATCCCGGTGGTGGTGTCTCTCGGCCTCAGCAACATGAACCTGTCAGGGACAGTAGCGCCTAGCATTGGTGGCCTGTCTGAGTTGACCCTCCTTGATCTATCCTTTAATGGGTTCTATGGTAACATCCCTCCAGAGATTGGGAACTTGTCCAAATTGGAGGTGCTTAACTTGTACAACAACAGTTTTGGTGGTACAATCCCCTCTGAGCTCGGGAAGCTAGATAAGTTGGTCACGTTTAATCTGTGCAACAACAAGCTCCATGGCCCGATACCTGATGAGATTGGAAATATGGCATCACTTCAGGAACTGGTAGGATACAGTAATAATCTCACTGGTTCACTACCTCGTTCACTTGGCAAGCTGAAGAACCTGAAGAATATTCGGTTGGGTCAGAATCTTATATCAGGCAGCATTCCTGTTGAGATAGGTGAATGTGTGAACTTAACTGTGTTTGGTCTTGCACAAAACAAGTTAGAGGGTCCTTTACCTAAAGAGATTGGGAGGTTGATCTTGATGACGGACTTAATCCTATGGGGGAATCAGCTTTCTGGTGTTATTCCTCCAGAGATAGGAAACTGTACAAGCCTCAGCACAATTGCCCTCTATGACAATATTCTAGTTGGTCCCATACCTGCAACAATTGTGAAAATTACGAATCTTCAGAAGCTATACCTTTACAGGAATTCATTAAACGGTACAATTCCGTCTGACATTGGGAATCTTTCTCTTGCAAGAGAGATTGACTTTTCAGAGAATTTCTTAACTGGAGAGATACCAAAGGAGCTGGGCAACATTCCAGGCTTGAATTTACTCTACCTCTTCCAGAACCAGCTTACAGGCCCTATTCCTACAGAGTTGTGTGGGTTGAAAAACTTGAGTAAACTTGATCTATCGATCAATTCACTCACTGGCACGATTCCAGCTGGATTTCAGTACATGAGAAATCTAATCCAACTGCAACTCTTCAGCAATTTGCTTTCTGGCAACATACCTCCAAGGTTTGGCATTTATAGCCGTCTTTGGGTGGTGGATTTCTCAAACAACAGTATTACAGGGCAGATACCGAAAGATCTTTGCAGGCAATCAAACCTTATTTTGTTGAATTTGGGGTCTAACATGCTTACAGGGAACATTCCTCGTGGGATCACTAACTGTAAAACATTGGTTCAGCTTCGTCTCAGTGACAACAGTCTGACAGGAAGCTTCCCCACTGACCTCTGCAATCTGGTAAATTTGACAACAGTTGTGCTGGGTCGAAACAAATTTAGTGGACCCATTCCTCCTCAGATAGGCAGTTGCAAGTCTCTGCAAAGGCTGGACCTTACAAATAATTATTTCACATCAGAGTTGCCTCGAGAAATTGGTAATTTGTCAAAACTCGTTGTCTTCAATATCTCATCTAATAGACTAGGAGGAAACATACCACTAGAAATTTTCAATTGTACAGTGTTGCAACGCCTTGATCTCAGCCAGAATAGCTTTGAAGGTTCGTTGCCAAATGAAGTTGGTAGGCTGCCACAGTTGGAGCTGCTATCTTTTGCTGACAATAGGCTAACTGGCCAGATACCACCCATTCTTGGTAAACTATCACATTTAACAGCACTACAGATTGGTGGCAATCAGTTATCTGGTGAAATACCAAAGGAGCTGGGTTTGCTGTCGAGCTTGCAGATCGCCCTGAATTTGAGCTACAACAACCTCTCTGGCAACATTCCTTCAGAGCTTGGTAACCTTGCACTGTTGGAAAGTTTGTTTCTTAATAACAACAAGCTGACTGGTGAAATCCCAACTACATTTGCTAATCTGTCCAGTTTGCTTGAGCTAAACGTCTCCTACAATTCTCTCTCTGGTGCCCTCCCGCCAATACCGCTTTTTGATAATATGTCTGTGACCTGTTTTATTGGAAATAAAGGATTATGTGGTGGACAACTTGGTAGATGTGGACCCCGGTCATCCTCTAGTTCCCAGTCATCCAATTCAGTCAGTCCCCCTTTAGGCAAGATCATAGCAATTGTTGCTGCTGTCATAGGAGGGATTTCACTTATTCTTATTGCAATAATTGTGCACCATATCAGAAAACCAATGGAGACAGTAGCCCCCTTGCAAGATAAGCAACTTTTTCCAGCTGGTTCTAATATGCATGTTTCTGCTAAGGATGCATATACATTTCAGGAATTGCTCACCGCTACAAATAACTTTGATGAGAGTTGTGTGATCGGAAGGGGTGCTTGTGGGACAGTATACAGAGCCATCCTGAAGGCTGGACAGACAATTGCAGTCAAGAAACTTGCTTCTAACAGGGAAGGGAGCAACACAGACAACAGCTTCCGTGCAGAGATCCTGACTCTTGGAAAGATAAGACATCGTAATATTGTGAAGCTTTACGGTTTTATATACCACCAGGGTTCCAACCTTCTACTCTATGAATACATGTCGAGAGGCAGTCTTGGTGAGCTACTTCATGGACAATCATCTTCTTCACTTGATTGGGAGACACGCTTCATGATAGCCCTTGGAGCGGCTGAAGGGCTTTCATACCTGCATCATGACTGCAAGCCTCGTATCATCCACCGTGATATTAAATCTAATAACATATTACTTGATGAGAACTTTGAAGCCCATGTTGGTGATTTTGGGTTAGCAAAGGTGATCGACATGCCATACTCGAAGTCAATGTCTGCAATTGCAGGTTCATACGGCTATATAGCGCCAGGTGAGTCTCAAGTTTACTTGACATCCGGTTCTTTGAACTTCTGTTGCGTGTTCACTATTGATCTATGTCTTATGCTCTTTACTTGAAGCTATCGGTCAAACCTAGGGCAACTAGGTGGGGTGTCGCATAGATAATTTACTCAGGCCAATATCTAATTTATTGTAGTGTTTTGTTTGCTCGTAGAGTTGTTCTTCATTGGGCATTACTTTGCAAGAATTATGATCATGTAGGTTTTCCCACCAAAAAGGGTAGCAAAGAAACTTTAAGCTTGTGCTGCCATTTAGATTTTATATTAAAACCAACTAGGCGATTATTCCTCAAACCATAGTGATATGTTGCCGTTGGGGTTTCCATATTTTGGTGACTTTCAATGTTTATTCAAGACCTTGATATCCTGAAATGCGAGCTGAATATTATTCATATGTACTTGCTGTTCCACCCTTGTGCCACAAGCCCACAAACTTCCATTTGCTGGTCAAGTCTTTTCGGTTTTGTGCTAGTAACTAGCTACACGCTGATGTCTAATGTGAAGTACTAACCTAGTCCTCGTTTTTTTTTACAGAATATGCTTATACCATGAAGGTTACTGAAAAATGTGATATATATAGCTATGGCGTCGTGCTGCTGGAGCTGCTAACTGGGCGTGCCCCTGTGCAACCCTTAGAACTGGGAGGTGATCTGGTAACATGGGTAAAGAACTACATCAGGGACAATTCTTTGGGTCCAGGGATCCTCGATCAAAATTTGGATTTACAAGACCAAAGTGTTGTCGATCATATGATTGAGGTCTTGAAAATTGCTTTGGTATGTACTAACTTGTCTCCGTATGAGAGACCACCAATGCGGCATGTTGTAGTTATGTTAAGCGAGTCTAAAGATAGGACGAGGGTGAGCTCTGCATCCTCACCTGCCTCTGATGATCCTTCAAAGAAGGATAACTCATGATGTATTTATAATATGTTCGATTAGTCAAAGGTAATACACATTTTTTCCTGCCCTTTCCTAGTATTGTTAGTAGGGTTCTTGGAGTCTGCATTCATTATTTGTGTCAGCATTTTGTAGGGAGATAAATGATAGTGGTTCATAGTTTCATACAGCGTCATAATGTCATATTGTATGCCATTGTCTCTCAGAAAGGTTCCAGACTAACATGAAGCATTTGAGGCACGACTCACTGCTGCCGTTGTCTCTCAGAAGGTTTGCTCTTGCTCTGGACACTGGAGATGTTCATTGATCAATTAGTTCTATGCCTCGGTGCATTCTTACTCAAGTTACAGTATGTTAGTAATAACACCAGCCAGGCAGCCATCTCTGTAATCTGCTCCAACATGAACTGCAGTGCAGAATCATATGCACATGCACTCATTGATCGTTGTCAATTGCCATCTTCTTGTGTGATGAACCACACTACTGCAGCCACTCTTTGTACGGAGTAGCTGTTAACCTGTAGCCTCTGCTCGTTGTTGTTGAGTCGCCTCTCTCTTCTCTTGGCGCCATTGCCATTGGACGTCATACAAAAAAATTGGGAAAGGACGAGGTCGGCCCAACCTCCAACAGATCAGCGCGTGGTCACAGCGTCAGAGCACAAAGCGACATCGCTCGCCGGCGCCCTCCGCACCTGCCCAGCAGCTTCTTGTCCGCACCAATCACCATGGCGGCGGTGGAAGCGAAGGGGAGCCCACACGTCGTCCTCTTTCCCTTCCTAGCTCACGGCCACGTCCCTGCTTTCCTCCGCCTGGCTGGCCGCCTCCGCGCGCTCCGCCCAGGGCTCGACGTCACACTCGTCTCCACCCCGCGGCTCCTGGGCTCCCTCACGCTCCCACCGGCCTCCCCACCAGTGCGCCTCCACGCGCTCCCGTTCGCCCCCGCCGACCACGGCCTGCCCCCGGGCGCCGACTCCCTCGCCGATATCCAGGTCCACCAGTTCATCACCTTCTTCAGGGCCTCCGAGTCGCTCCGCCCCGCGTTCGAGAAATTCATCTCCGGCATCGGTTCCCCAGTCTGCATCGTCGCCGACGCCTTCTTCGGGTGGACGGCCGAGGTCGCGCGCGCGCGGGGCGCGCCCCACGCCGTGTTCCTCCCCGGCGGCGCGTTCGGCAACGCCGTGTTCTTCTCCGTGTGGGAGCACCTCCCGCACGCCCTCACGGACGCCGACGATTTCCCGCTACCGGATTTCCCAGACGTCGTTCTCCACCGCACGCAGATCCCGAGGTTCATGCTCGCCGCCACGGGGGCGGACCCCTGGACGGCCTTCTTCCGGCGCGTCATCGCCTTCTGCCGAGAGACCGACGCTCTCCTCGTCAACACCGTCCAGGAACTGGAACCCACCGGCCTCGACATGCTCCGACGAAGCTTCGGCGTCCAGCCATGGCCAATCGGGCCAGTCCTCGCAGCGCCGACCCCGTCGTTGGACTCGCGGGACGACGACACCAGCATCATCCAGTGGCTGGACACGCACCCGCCGCGCTCGGTGCTGTACATATCGTTCGGATCGCAGAACAGCATCAGCGCGGATCAGATGACGGAGCTCGCGCTGGGGTTGAAGGCGAGCGGCCGCCCCTTCCTGTGGGCGCTCCGCCCGCCGCTGGGGTTCGACGCGAAGGACGTGTTCAGGCCCGAGTGGCTCCCGGCCGGCTTCGAGGAGCGAACGGCGAGGGCGAAGGCGAAGACGGGACTGCTGGTGCGCGGGTGGGCGCCGCAGGTGCGGATCCTGTCGCACCCGTCCACCGGCGCGTTCCTGAGCCACTGCGGGTGGAACTCCGTCCTCGAGAGCCTGTCCCGCAGCGTGCCGCTCATCGGGTGGCCGCTGGGCGCCGAGCAGTTCTTCAACGCAAAGCTCGCAGTCGAGTGGGGCGTCTGCGTGGAGGTGGCGCGCGGGAACCTGGAGAGCTCCGCGGTGGAGAGCGGGGCGGTGGCCGAGGCCGTGCGGGCGGTGATGGGGGAGACGGCGAAGGGTGGTGAGATGAGGAGGAAGGCCGCGGCGATCGCGCGCACCATGGAGGCAGCGTGGGAAGCGCCGGGCGGGTCCGCGGCGCAGAGCCTGGAAGGGTTCCTGAGATGCGTTGAGACTTCTTGAGACGTCCATGGCTGCGCGAGGAATCTAAGAATTTTGTAACACATGTAGATGTAGCCGTGGAACCTGCAATAAGTATGCGAGGGAAATCTGAAGGCAACCGATGAAACCTGTGAGAAATTCAAAAAGGGCATCAGCTGCTTACCATCCCAGTTCGTGAATGTAACATTGTAACCCACTGGTGGTCTAGCTGATTTGGCACCAGTTCGTGAATGTCAGCCACTTCCAATTTCAAAGGGATTTCAGAGCCGCATGTATGTGGCCATGTGGGAACTGGAATATGTTCAGCAAACGCTGATCTCTGCATCAGTCCATCTCCAAGCAGCGAAAGGTAGAAAAGCAGAAGTACCTTGATGCAGTTCACTCACTGTCCATCCAATCCGGATCCGTAGCCAAAGATATGCTGCACTTAACTTTTAGCCTAAAGAAATAACACACATTCCTTGTCCACAGGCAAAGCCCGCGTGAAGGTTACACCAAAAACGGACGGAACAGGAAGGGACGACTATGCAGTTGATGCTTCAGGGTGACGCCATTGCTCCTGTCAGTTGGACAACGACGCTGCAAGATTCACCACCACTCCATTCACTGGCCAACCTTTTCTCACTGACCCAGAGATTGAAGGGGGAGCTGTTCCCAGACAGTTCCCTATGGAAGAAAAAACATTCCATGATCGAGATCCGAGTGGAGTGGCATGTTGCGCCGCGCGTCACGATGTAGCCCACCCGCAGGCCGTAGCCCAACTGATTTGGCGTCCCACTCGTGAGAACGCTGGCCCAATCCCAAGGGGTTCCAATCCCAGCATATGACGCGGGATATCTTCACCAGATCCGCCGTCATATAGGAAAGGATATGGAGTAATCTTTGATGAAGCTCGCTGCCTATTCGTATGCCTAGCTAAAGGTAGATTCCTCTCTCACGAGCAGAGTTTGCTTGCAGTTGCAGTCTTGCAGATCAGCTGAAATCGTGCAGAACGGGAACCTCACCGCACCGTTGGTGCACAGCATGACTAGTAGCCCCGCCGGTAGTGGTTGCTGGATTCACCGAATTCTCCCATTTTTGTCCGGCCAGTCTTTTTTCCCGGAGACCAGTGAAACCCGACAAAATACCTAGTTTCCTACGAGAGGAGCACGCGATCATCGAGATTCGAGTGTGGTATATGATAGCTTAGGTGTCTTTGATGATAGGTGGCGCATACGGCCGAAAGCAGAGCGAGACGTTCCTTCGGAATTCCGATTCGGCGAGTGGATGGTAGGTGAGACAGAGAGCACTAGGCGCAATCTCTCATCGATCTGTCATCTGTGGACTATGGTAGTGCAGCAAATGGAGCAATGAGTGGTGTAGATCGCAGTGACTCTTCAAAAATGAAAAATAACGTGTCTGTTTTACAGACGGATAGACTAACCAAGAGAAAAAGGGAAAAAATTAGTCACAGAAACAATCCTTCGCCCTCTTCGTTTGGCTTATAAGCCGTACTTTTTCAGCTAACGAACGATATTTTTCTCTCAAAATAAATCAGCCAACTGTACTCTCACTCATGGCTTATCAGCCAAACGAACAGGCATTTGATGTGTAGTACTAGATAGCAGAGTGTTAATCTCAATGAAGCGAAATGCCGAAATGGTTCGGTGACGCAGACGCGTCACCGCCCAGGTATCATCAACTGGGTGGTTGGTTCAGTGACGCAGCGACGCAACACTTACTAGTCACTAAACTGCTTTGGTTTCGTCACGGGCGAGACACTTTAGATTGGTCTTCTTAGTTTACGAGTGAATGATTGCTCGAGAGCAGGTGGTAGCTGTTCGTTGATTGGATAAGCTGACGAGAATCGTGTAGTAGTTGTATTATTATTCTGCTGAAAGCAGCCCAAGGGGCTGCCAGCTAATTTTCTTATCCGGACCGTCGGGCCGGAGACGTCTCCTTTTCGGTGCAGTTGTCTCTGTCTTGCAGAATTTCTATTCATCTACCTATATACTAACAATACGATTACGATATTCTTTTCATATCCCACCGTATCTTATAGTACTATCATTGCTCTTGACATTCATATTTCGTTTATGGACGACCAGAAGCTCTTCTTTTCAGCAAAGCTGCAGCATGGAGTACGTAGTTAACCGTTGAAAAAGATCGATAGTGCATGGGGTCTTTCTTGGAAATGGTGGAAAAGTGCATACGTACTCAATACCACTAGTTGTACATCTGAATTTGTCTGAGCGGTAGAAACAAGAGTGAATTTGTCCACACGTCGATGTTGCAAGTTTTCTATCTAAAAGCCACTCCAAGAACAGCAACTACCATTCTACCAATACCAGGTACAAAAAAATAGCCATCCATTCCACATCCACGGAGTTGCTGCTGACCGCTGACCGTGACCGGCGCACGTGTCTCCGCTCGGAAGTCATCGGCCCCGGGTCGGTGGTGGCGATGCATGGATCCGCGTCTGCATGTAGTGTGTACAGCTGGTTGGAGATGCGTATACGTTGTTGAACCCGTCCAAGCTGGGGAGACCGTTTCGTCTCGTCGGGATCAGCCAGGCTGTATGCAGGGGTACAGGGGGTAGGGTAGTAGTACAAGGGCTCCGACGTACGCGCATACGCACGCACGCGAGTCAAGTTTCGCGTGGATGGATGCAAGCTAGGCTGCATAGCTGTAGATGAGCAACGAAAGCCGCGAGCCGGGCGTAAATTCCGTTGGCGCGGTTGGCGGCTGGCCGTTTAACCGGCTCACGCTTATTTGGTGCAACGACAGCGTCAGTGTGCAGTGTTTTCATTCACCATACAAGAAAGAAGATTACTATTATTTTAGTACGTACGTAGAAATCTTCTTCTATTGGTTTCTTTTCTCTGTCATTTGTAGTTATTATTACATCTCCCCACCACGGCGTTGCTGTGGTCGTCGACTTTCTGCCACCACAGACACACTGTTTCTCCCGTGAAATGCTTTTAAGCGCCGCTAGGTGTTTGAATTCTCCTTTTGTGTTCAAACTCGTGTGCCATTTGCTATAGAAGACCCTCCTGCTTTTAAATTCGTGGTACCACCAGTCTACCTTCAGAGCTGTGACGACGCGTCCGTTCATCTGGGCTGAGGTCAAGCCACGCATTATTAGGCACCAATAAATAAACGTATATACTCCTATCTTTACTCCTTTTATTTTATTTTAAGGACCACTGCCTACAGATGAATACTATACGATTTATTTTTTCCACCTCAGCTCTACCAGACGATGGTACATACACTACCAGACTACCTCTTCTCTTCTGCCCGTAGAACGAAGCCAAGCCACGAACACGTCCTGGTTCTTCGCGGCCAAACCGGGTAGGATGGTGTCTCCAAAGCTAAATCCCCCTTCAAGACACGTTTTTTTTCTAGTATACATTTTTCCAATCCAAAAGAAATCCTGGGACGAAGACCAAAAAATGTTCCACAGCGTGGGTTCCAGCGCACGAAACCCGTCAACGATTCTTTTTCTTTCCAAAATAAAAAGAGAGAACCCCGTCAACGAACGGCTAGTCTGCGGCCCAGCCCAAGAGAGCCCGACCCGAACCCACACCGTCTCCTTCTCTGCTGCGGGTTTGCGGCCCTGCCATGCCAATGCCACCATCCCCGCCGCACCACCGCACCCACCTGAAGAACGCCGTCCCCATAAACTCTCGGGCGCGATACTTTCCCCATCCCTCCCAATCACCACCCATCCCATCCTCCGCCTTCCCTTCCCCCGCCGTCCCCGCCCCGCCCCCCCAGATCGGCAAATCCGCCCGCACCTACCCCCGCGAGCGTCGCGCGTCCCGGATGGCCACCGCCTCCTCCGCCCGCCGCGGGGTTCCGTAGCATGGGCCACTCCCCCTCCTCCCTCTCCAAATCCGGCCCCTCCTCTCCACCGCGCCGCAGCAGGTCGCTCTACCCCATGGCGCCGCCGCCGCAGCTGCGGCTGACCGCGCCGATGCAGGTCGCTGCGGGGGACAGCGGCAGCGGCAGCTCCTCCTCGTTCGCGCCGCCCGCTCGGGACTACACCCAGGACCTGCCCGACGAGATCCTCGCGCTGGTCTTCGCGTCGCTCTCGCCCACCGACCGCAACGCCTGCTCCCTCGCCTGCTCCCGCTGGATGGAGGTCGACGCCACCACGCGCCACCGACTCTCCCTCGACGCCCGCGCCGCGCTGGGCAACGCGGCGCCCGCGCTGTTCGCGCGGTTCACGGCCGTCACCAAGCTAGCGCTCCGCTGCGCGCGCGGGTCGGGCGCCGACAGCCTCTCCGACTACGGCGCCGCGGCGGTGGCCGACGCGCTGCCCTCGGAGCGCCTCGCCAGGCTCAAGCTCCGCGGCCTCAGGCAGCTCTCCGACGCCGGGCTGGCCTCGCTCGCCGCCGCCGCGCCGGCGATCCGCAAGCTCTCCGTTGCGTCCTGCACCTTCGGACCCAAGGCATTCGTCGCCGTGCTCCAGTCCTGCCCCCTCCTCGAGGACCTCTCCGTCAAGCGCCTCCGCGGCCTACCTGACACGGCCGGTGCCACCACTTCCATTGCTGAGGACATTAAATTTCCACCGGCTTTGTCCCTGCGTTCGGTTTGCCTCAAGGATCTTTATAGCGCTCTGTGCTTTGTGCCGCTTCTGGCGTCCTCACCAAACCTCCGCTCGCTCAAGATACTGCGGTGCTCCGGCGCCTGGGACCTGCCATTGGAGGTCATCACTGCACGTGCTCCTGGCCTTGTTGAGCTTCACCTTGAGAAGCTGCAGGTTGGCGACCGTGGCCTTGCTGCGCTTTCTGCCTGTCCCAATCTGGAGGTTCTGTTCCTTGTGAAGACCCCTGAGTGCACTGATTCGGGCATCATCAGTGTTGCTGAGAAGTGCCACAAACTCCGCAAACTGCACGTCGATGGGTGGCGCACAAACCGGATTGGGGATTTCGGACTCATGGCTGTGGCACGAGGATGTCCAGATCTGCAGGAGCTCGTTTTGATAGGGGTCAACCCCACCGTGCTGAGCCTCCGGATGCTTGGTGAGCACTGCAGGTCGCTCGAACGGCTCGCGCTTTGTGGGTGTGAAACTGTGGGGGATGCTGAGATCATTTGCTTGGCTGAGCGCTGGGCTGCGCTCAAGAAGCTCTGCATCAAGGGGTGCCCGGTGTCAGATCGTGGGATGGAAGCACTGAATGGGGGCTGCCCCAGTTTAGTCAAGGTGAAGCTGAAGAGATGCCGTGGAGTGTCATACGAGTGCATTGAGAACCTGAAGGTTACTAGGGGGGAGTCATTTTCCATCAGCTTGGATATTGTGGAGCATGATGCTGGGAGCGCTAGTGAAAATGGTGTGCAGGAGAATGGACAGGCACAAATTACTGAGCTGACCGATCAAATGGCAGGCATGGGCCTTCCGGCCAATGCCACTGGCGCACAATCATCGACTCATACCATTAACAGGATGAGGAGTGTCATGTCTGCGATCCGGCGTAGGTTTGGCAATCCTCCGCCACCATGATGTGAGATGGAAACTAATGAACTGTTTTTTACAGCTTTTATCTAATCACACATTCATGTTTCCTAAGCTTATTTCATTGCAATATCTGGTCCGTTCAAGATAACCATCTATGGATGTTTCTTCATGATGTTTTTATTGGGCTAATCGCAATCAGCATTAGTTTTACCCATGCTCTATAACTTAAATTTACTCTTGTGTTGCTTCGTTTACCATGAACATGTTCCCACCGTATCTAAATTAATCATTGTCTTTCTTTGTTTTTGGTTTTACTTCTTGGAGTTGAGAAATTGGGTGCTACAATCTCTATATAAACTATTATCCTGGGACACAGAGGTATGATTAGTTGTAGATGGTGGACGAAACCATTGAAATATATGCACACTGGTAATAGTATAGTGTTTGCTTCTGTGTTAGGTTTGAAGGATGCTTCGTTTACCATGAACATGTTCCCATCGTATCTAAATTAATCATTTTCTTTCTTTGTTTTTGGTTTTACTGCCTGGAGTTGAGAAATTGTGTGCTACAATCTCTATATGAACTATTATCCTGGGACAGAGAGGTATGGTTAGTTGTAGACGGTGGACGAAACCATTGAAATATATGCACACTGGTAATAGTATAGTGTTTGCTTCTGTGTTAGGTTTGAAGGAAACATGTGTTTGAATTTATCTAATTTCGTGTTGCACGTTATCCCAATGAAATGATTGCAAACAAAAATCCATGATGCATACATCAACGCCATCGCTGCTTTCTGCTGTTACTCTTGGATAATGATGTGCTAGTTGTTGCTTAGCAGAGGTGGTTATGCTGATAGTGAAAGGATATCGTTGCGTGTATTTGAGGTTATCTACGTATTTGGTGCCTTGCGTTATATACCAATTTAGCTACACTTCAGTGTAGCAAGTTGAATCGGAACTACATGGCCTCAATGATGCATAGTACTGTCTCTAGAACTGGATGAGCATCAGGGGCAGTGAGAGCATCATTCATTTATGATATTTCTTTTCTTTGAGATGCTAAATTTGCAGCTGTTGTATGCTATAATGCTAAGCTTATTTTGTAAGGTGTTTCTCCTTTAGTTAGTTGCTTGTGGGGTTCATGATGTTGCTGAGGATCGCCGATGACAATACTTTAAGATGAATGTGGGACTTTTCTGTGTCTAGAATTATTGCAGGATTCCATGCGACTTTAATTATTCAAATGACAGTTGCCGGAAAACTGTACATGAGTATTGTGTCAAAGGGTACCTTCCTCAGCAATCAACACGTTTGTTGGCACACACAACCAAAAAAAAAAAACTGGTGGTTGAAAAGGAACTATTAGGTACTTCTGCCCATTTCAGCGTATATGATAAAATTGAAATGTACTACTCCCTCCTACCCTAAATAAACTTCTTAGTGTTGTTCTAAGCCAAAGTTTCTCTACTTTGAGTGAATTTATAGAAAAGGGAGTCAACATTTTAAACACCAAATTAGAATAATTAGATACACCTTAAAGTATATTTTCGTAGTGTACCTATTTGGTGTCATAGAAGTTGGTACACTTAAAATAGTTTTGACTGATAACTCTAGAAGTTAATTTATTTTGGGACAAAGAGGTACCCTTTGACACAATACTCATGTACAGTTTTCCGGCAACTGTCATTTGAATAATTAAGAGCCCAGCCTTAATTAACACGTTTGTTGGCACACACACACAACACTTCTATATGATAAAATTGAAATGTACTACTCCCTCCTAGCCTAAATAAACTTGTTAGTGTTGTTCTAAGCCAAAGTTTCTCTACTTTGAGCGAATTTATAGAAAAGGGAGTCAACATTTTTAACACCAGATTAGAATAATTAGATACACCTTAAAGTATATTTTCGTAGTGTACCTATTTGGTGTCATAAAACTTGGTACACTTAAAATAGTTTTGACTTAGATAACTCTAGAAGTTAATTTATTTTGGGACAAAGAAAGTTTTATCCTAAGCCAAATCTCTTTAGTTTTGATCAAGTCATAAAAAATGCACAAACATCTATAATATCAAACTAGATTCATTAGATACGTCATGAAATGTATTTTGATGGTGCATTTCTTTGGTATTGTAGATGTTAATAAGTTTTTACTGTAAATTTAGTTTTTCTGTAAAAATAACTTAGGACAAAGCTAAAATAACTTACAATTTTTGAACGGAGGGATTAGAATATTTGTGCTTTTGTCTAGCCTTGGAAAATTACTAGTGCTCTCGGGAGCTGTCACGGGCAGGTGCAGACTGCGGAGTCATGCTTGGGTTGATAACCATACGTCTTACTGTGCCAGTTAAGCCTCGTAGAATTCTCTTTGCAAAATCATGGATTTCTCATGTGTTGTGTGTTGACACTCTCAAGGGTGTTACCGTGTTAGCGTCAACCAGAAAGAAATCTCGCTGGAATTTTTATTCTGCCAACTAGTAATCTAGTAGTAGTATTATATGCTGAGTTGTTGGTCAAATATGAGGTATGCCAAAACAACAGTTAAATTACGTATTGAGCGATTGAGCACACCAAGACTGCCATATAATCTGGGAGCAATGCTAAACTTGGTCCAGGCAGTTTAAAACTTTGCGAGTCATGCTCTGCAGTTTAAAACTTTGCGAGTCACGCTCTGCTCGCTGCTCGCTGCTATTGCTGGTTTGGCGGAATGCGTAAAAGCCGTTGGGGTCTCGGTCCGGTGCCCAGATGCCTGCGCGACATTAAATTCAAAACGTGAAGCTTGTCGGGTTTTGTCCAATTCTCCGTCTTGTGACGTGCACTTGTGCTTTCGCGGTTTCACCTCGGATACTCTACTTTGCCACGTAAACTGGGGGAAGAACCGTCCGTAGTGGGCCTCTTTGGGGCTAGTTTTGTCAGCTATGCAATTTATGGTTCTGCGCCGAGGAAATGAGCTTGCCAGTTGCCACTGAATTTGGCTACGGCAGCACTTTCGTTTTTATTCGGTAATTACTCAATCCATCCTAAATTGTAAGACGTTTGACTTTTTTAACACCAAGTTTGACCACTCGTCTTATTCAAAAATTTGTGTAAAATATCACTTCTTTCGTCGTGGTTTGGTTTATTAATAAAAATTCTTCAAGAATGACTTAAATTTGACTATATTTGCACAAATTTTTTGAATAAGACGAGTGGTCAAACTTGAGGCCAAAAAAGTCAAACGTCTTACAATTTGGGATGGAGGGAGTAGTGTTCAATCATGGACTAATTAGGCTCAAAACGTTCGTCTCGCGATTTCCAACAAAACTGTGCAATTAGTTTTTTTCGTCTACATTTAATGCTCCATGCACGTATCACAAGATTCGATGTGATGACTACTGTAATATTTTTTTTGGAAAGTTTTTTTTTTTTTGAACTAAACACAGGCTCAGATCGATGGATGTCCTAAAAGTTGCGTCAGGTCAGGTGTCTGCTCTCTACGCGAGAGCATCTTTGGCAGTTTTTTTTCTCTTGTGCATCTGTTCCAATCCGTTGCTGCAGTTATGTTTGTTGTATCCCAGGCTCCTAGATTTACCAAGATACAGCTAGCTAGAAATGTTATGCTTGTTGAGTGGACCAGGACCTACAAAGTAGTTACGTTCAGTTCAGTTCGATTGCTCTGTTTAGCTGAAAGTTCGTCCCTATGCTGCATCATCGCCCTTGAGGCCTTGACGAGATATTTTCTCCCTGTTGATATTTTATACGCGTATCAAATGGTGCCTTCCGAGTACGGTGATGTGGTGGACCTGGTAGTGGTAATTGTGAGGTGGACATGATATCTGCATTGAATATGCCGTCACTTGTGCCGTTCAACTGATTAATGTTGATTTGCTTGCAATGGCATACTAATCTTAAGCTATCAATGACACAAGTTTATGCACCACATCCACCTATAAGTGACACCTCCATCCAATTTACTTCCTTCTCTTTTGCATACGCGTTCCATTTATATTCCTATGTTTTTTTTATTCGTGTATTTTTTTTTTCAATCATGCATTTTAAAGGGGGCCTGAGCTAGATAGTTTGCAACTTTGCATCGCGACATCGATGTCCAACACGACACGAGTTCTATAGCTGAGGATCACCCTATTACCCTGGTGACGTGTAGCGTGCTGGAGCATCGACCATCTTACTCAGGTTGAATTTCCTGGCTTTGAGTGGCGTGTCGGAGGGGAAGCAGAACCAAGTCAAGATCTTACCATTACTGAAGGAATTGGAGCTATATTTCTTTTTATTTCCATTCAAGAGTTTCTATCTGTTTTCACGCTCTATTTTCAAGACCTCGAAACATGTAATGGACAAATTTCTTCTTTTAGAACACGTACAAGAAAAGGATAATGTTATGAATGCCCCCGACGAGCAGTGCTCTGCGGCAATCAATTATGCTGGCGTAGGCGTTGAGCACATTCGACAAGATTCTGGGACAGGTCATCACTTGTGTGGCACGCATGGCAGTACACTACACTACACGTTAGTGCTTAGTACATCAATCTTGTTGAATGTAATCTTGTTCAGTCAGCCTTCGGGCGCCTGGAAGGTGATGTGAGGGTGTCCGTCCGGGCGTGTCCGTTCTGGACAACTCATTCCCGGGCCTGCGCAACACGGGTCCAATAGGCAACGTGCCTGCTCCTCCATAAATTCCCACCTTCTCAAAAAAAAAAAAAAATCTCAATCCCCATTCGCTTCGCGGCTTCACCGTGTCTCCTCTCCGCCTCGTAGGCGCACGTCGCGCATCGCCTCCATTCTGCGCCACGCCACACTCCATCCCCCGCCGCGCACGCTCCACCTCGCTGCGCCCCATCCCACGCAGCGAGGTGCCCCGTCCCTGCGCCCTATGTGCCGTGCCGTGCGCCCGTGCCCCATCCCCTACCGAGTCGAACTGCTGCTGAGGTGCTGTCGATGCCGTCATTCTCCACCAGAAGGTCGTGACCGCTTCGACGTCGGCACCGCTACAATGCTCGTCCTCAATTCACGACATCAGAGATCCGGTGTGGCCAGACCAGGCCA